ACCGAAGAAGAATAATCAAGAAACACAAAGCCACAGTACTCACTAAGTGTTGAATACTTCGTGGGGACCGTAAGAGGCGCAAGGGGGTCCCCTCCCATCTTGTCCCATCTCCCGACAGTCCAGTACCACAAGCTCTTCCACTCCTTAATGGAGCTCGGCAGATCAAGCACGAATGGAGTGTGCGAACCCCATGAGATCAAGTAGTACCAACCCCTGGTCTTATCCCCCCAGCTACTACCTTAGGGACATAGAGGGTCTGAAATACAGAAAAGGCATCTCTACCCCAAGCGACACCTCCTTCCACAACATCCAGAAGCCCACCATTTGGCTCCAGGAGTTCGGGTTCAATTGGGTAGGAGCTAAGCCGTATGACCTAAGTACCATACGGAAGAAAGGGTGGATCGGAAGCCTAAGGCCAGCCTTATGGATCGCCTCGCTGATTGCCACGCACCCTGGCCTAGGTAGCAGGCCCGTTCATTAGGTTTAAGTAGGATCAGATCTACACTATTTGGGATCCTATATTCAACCCTAAGTCTTTCCAGGTCGACACCCTTTAGCTTAGAGGGATAACCCGACGTCCCCAATGCACAAATGTGTCTACTGGGCTATCTGGTCTCTTCCATATGTTCTCCCCCCCAATAATCGCTTCGACTATTTCAAAGGAGGTCGCCAAAATGGGCTCGTCCATCCTCACTAGTTCCAACCCCCTCCTCGAGCTACCATTACCCTCAGAAGCCATTTTCAGAAATGAAAAGTTTCAAATACCTACTGAAACTTTCGAAATGGAGTGTCTCGTAGCCAAAAATAGTCAAGAAACAATGTAAGTCACCGAAAACTGGGATTTCTCGCCTGAAAGTGCTTGAAGAACGTCGAAAAATGTAAAGATTTTGATAGCAAATTGGGTTTTTGATTTCCCAAAAGTGAAAAGCTCCAAAAACTCTCAAGTCTGCCTTTTATAGAGCGTCCCAGCTAATCTCCACCGTTGAATTCAAATGCAATCAATCTAGGCTGTCCGTCGCATCATCGATCGAGGCCGTTGAAATGAAACGCCAGATTTGATCTACACTTAAGATCTAGTTGTGACCTTTATACTCACGCGAAACGCGTTGCCTCGATCACCATCAGCCGTCTACAATAAGTAGCCGCAGCAGTCTATTCTGGGAATGGGCATCGCACCCAACTGTCGCCTTGAAAATATGCGACCGCTGTCAAATCATTTAACGTCAGAGATGCCCGCCTCAAATCGAGCTCTTCACTCAGCTTTACAAAGCTTAGATGCACCTGACGCTGAGTCCCCTATGGGTCATCGCTTCGATAGCTGCGTTTCTTCCTAAGCTTTTCAAAGCTTTAGCCATCTCCCAACGCGTCGTCCCCTGTGGGTTAGCTCACCAGTGGCAGATGAGCTCCTCACTCAGCTTTTCAAAACTTAGACGCACCTGACGCGGAGTCCCCTATACGTCATCGCCTCGGTAGCTGCGTTCCCTCCTAAGCTTTACAAAGCTTTAGCCATCTCCCAACGCGTCATCCCCTATGGGTCAGCGCACCGATGGCAGATGGGCTCCTCACTCAACTTTCCAAAGTTTAGACGCACCTGACGCAGAGTCCCCTGTGGGTCATCGCCTCGGTAGCTGCGTTCTCTCCTAAGCTTTACAAAACTTTAGCCATCTCCCAAAGTGTCGTCCCCTGTGGGTCAGCACACCGGTGGTAGATGAGCTCTTCACTCAGCTTTACAAAGCCTAGACGCACTTGATGCAAAGTTCGTTGTGGATTATCGCCTCGGTAGCTGTAATCCCTCCTAAGCTTTACAAAGCTTTAGCCATCTCCCAACGCGTCGTCTCTATGGGTCAGTGCACCGATGGTAGATGAGCTCCTCACTCAATTTTACAAAGCTTAGATATACCTGATGCGAAGTCCCCTGTGGGTCATTGCCTCGTGGCTGCGTTTCCCTTCTAAGCTTTACAAAGTTTTGGCTGCCTCCCATCGCATTGTCCTATAGTCAATGGACAACAAATGAATATTCCTGTACTACCCCTCCTCCACCTAAGCTGCGCAAGAAAGGCCCAAAGCCAATCATTCAAATTGGATTGGTGATCAATTTCTAGGTTTCGTCGTAAACCCATGGGGCCAGCGTATTCAGTTCCAATACGTCATACTAGGTATTGGTATGTACCCCGATTATCTCCAGATCTATGCTTATTTTCAACTCCCCGAAAGCATTTCGTCGATTACTACACCCTTCGTCTGGAGAGCCAAACCTACCTCTCTATAATTTAATGCTTCAAAAGTTTCAACTTCCAATGCACAGTTTATTGACTTAATTAAGTAATATGTGCAAATCTCAATATCTATTTATTGAATCATTGCAAAGCTATTGGAGCACTTTAAAATTAAATGTTAAAAACAACAAATATTTATTGAGAATGCTAAAATTAAATGTTAAAAATAAAGAGGCTATGGGAGCACTTTAAAAGTTTGTTCTTTAAATTTATAGATGCTCTTTAAATAGTAAAATATATTTTTTAAAAATAAAGAATCTCTTGAAAATGCTATTATTAACATTTTTCTAATTCCATGCAATTGAATGAGGCACTGAAAAAGGGTTCAACTCTCCACGCATTCATTCTTGAACTTGGAGAAATATTGTGTTGCTGCCACACAAGATCCCAACATATCATTAGCATCATAAGTTCATGCATTATATAAAATGTCCAAACTTGAACTTGGGGGAGTATTGTGTTGTGCCTCGACACAACCAAGCAAATGGTCAACTCTTCATATAGTGTAATAAAGATAGACACTTCACACCAGAGCATCACTTTTCCAACAACGACATTCATACCATGTTGCATATCATAGATAATATCTTTCACGTTGAACCTAAAGTCCACACATTATGTAAATATTCATATTTGAACTTGAGAGACTATTATTACGCTTTATCCTACAATTGTCCAAGCATAGACCATGTCTCACATCCGCACTTCATGTCACTATCCTTAACTTAACCAAGGTCTTTAGACACAAGTAGTCGAATTGATCAGCCTGAACCAAAGGTCTGTGTCTGGCATTTTAATCGAAACTGAAACTCCCAAATCGAAATTGAAGGTTCCAATTTATGTTTTAAAGAAAATAGGAATCAAAATCGAGAATCAAGAATCATATGGTTTCGATTCAACTCTTGGTTTGTGAACCATAACCATGGGTAACCGAATGGAACCAAGTTTTTTTATATAATTTTTTATTTACAATTTATAGGTTGGGTAAAAAAAATGTGCAAAATCTAAAATTCGTAAGTTAAAAACTAGAACAAAGAAGTTGATTTGAAAATTAAATACGAAATATTGCACACATCCATTATTCAATAATGATGCACAAAAAGTTTTACTTAGTTTTTCTTTGTTCCTGCCGCATGATAAATTTTTGAGCTACTGTACACTTCCCAATTTTGAAGAAAGTTATTTCAATAAAAACAAAACATAGAGAATATTTTAGCTTCAAAGAACTCGAAAAGTAATACAAAATTATTTGTGTTTCAGGAACTATAACGAAAGCATACCAACATGTTGCAATTGGATTATGACACTGTATGATCAACCATCAGTGGCGGAGGGAGGTGGGATTTGAGAAAAACGAATTTATATGAACTTTTTTATGTTTTTGTACTTGTATTTTTAATAAACTATATTTTGTGTTTAAAATTATTTCGTTAATTTAGCACCTATTTGACAACCATTAAATTGAAAAAAAAAATAATAAATAGTAGAGAAAAATTTTAAATGTACGTGCTGAATATTTTATTATGTGTATGTGTGGTTGAAAATGAATATGTAAAAAAAAGTTTGAAATAAATGATTGTCGAACAGGAGCTTAATTAGGACTCTATTAAATTCGAGTTTTGACTCTATCACCATCAACCCGCATTATGAAATTTGAACTAAAATTTTAAAATAGTTTAAAATTAGCTCGATCTATTTAGCTAGAGTGTAATTATTAGTTCACATAATAGCTACGATCTTTCATAATGATCAATGGATGAATCAAACTTCCTATTCAAAGTTAAAACTCACTACTCAAGCATAATTTCGATTAGAATTCACCATTCTACAATATTAATTGATGTCGCAACCTAGCTAGTTTTGATAATCCAATAATCCGCAAACATGCATTATTGTTATCATAAATTATTTACTTCTTTAATCAATCAGAGAATAAAAATTGTGTAATCTTTTATTGAGAAATGGTCTACCAAGTACAAGCTCTTAGCACGATGATATAATACATCAATTAATTTAATTCTTCATTTCATCGTATTTAGCATAATATATAAATCATTTTTAATTTTGTTTTTATACGAGTCGCATTATTTCCATTAGCATGCATTTTTAATAGTGTATTGATAGAAAATGTGTGGTTAAAAAATAAAGAACAATTTTAAATTTGCGTGTAATATTATTTTATAAAGAATGTGTGGTTAAAATGATTTTACATTACTGTTTTAAATTTTTTTTTTTAAAAAGAACGTGGGTAAAATAGGGGCTATATGTCACCAAATATGGGCTAGATTTGTAAGCCCTCGTTTCGCCCCCATTTTTTGGAGATAAAAATAGGTGGAATAATGTTTTTTAGAAAAATGAGTAGTTGAAAAAGAAGGAAAAATTTTCGATTTACGTGCAATATTATTTTATAGAAAAATATATGGTTAAAAATAAAATAGAGAAAAATAAAATGTAATAAAATATAATTTTAGGGCCTGTTTGAGCCAAATTATTCCAAAATAATACATTCTTAAACAGTGATTTGATATCATTTCAACCACACATTCTTCGATAAAATATTATTACAAGTAGATTAAAATTTTTTTCTTATTTTTTAACTATATATTTTCCATCAATACTCAATTCAAGAATGCATTATTATCAAAATAATGTATGAATACCAAACAGGCTTAAAATAATTTTTGACTTTGATATCATTTCATAATTCAAATCAAACACTTCCCCTAGCTCTCGCCAACGGCTACCTCTATCTCTCTCTCTATTTGTCTGATTATCTCTCTCAAAACCATTCACGCAATCTTCTCTCTCTACTGTAAAGATGAAGCATTTCATGATGCCAAAAAATCAAATATTGAGAGAGAATCATGAGTCCGCTACACCATCCGCATTTCCGAACCTTAAAAGTAAATCGATAGCAGCAGCAAGCCCTAGCAGCCGGAGACAAAATTCTTCTAAAGAAAATTCGGCGCCGACATCAGATCCGAACTCGACTGTTTCACCTGCCACTGCCAAGATGAAGAGCCCGCTTCCTCCGCGGCCCACGCTCAAGCGGAAGCTCAGTGTGGAGGCCGCGGTGGGATTGGAGAATAGTGATGGGCCTACGAATCCTGCCGATTCTGGTGTAAAGGTGAATCTCTGGAAGAAAACTTGATTTCAGATTATTTTGGTTTTACTTCAACTTGCATTGGTTAGGGAGGTTTATAGGATTGTGACCTTCGGCTTCAGTAGTTTACCGTTCAGATCTGCGTTGGAATTTTCATATTGTTTGGTAAAACCTCTATATGTTTTGAGTTCCCGTATTTTTTATTTTATTTTATTTTTCTACTTAGGAAGCCCCATTTTTTGAAATTCCCTCTCCCTTTCAATGTGATGTGACATCTTCAGCATAAACGCCAGGAGCATGTATAGTTTATATAGGATCTTCTGGAACAAGATTTGGTTTTTCAAATGGTTCTGAATGAATGAAGTAGTACTTGTGCAGCTGGATTTTCGTTAATTTAGAAAATTTGAGAAACTTACATTTTATTTTTGAGGAAACCAGGTTAGTTAATCGCTATTGGCTTTGAGTAACTGAACTCTTTGAATTAATATTTCTTAGAGTGAAATGGTAATAAGAATGAATTCTCCAACTTAATCTGGAACTACAGTAATTCTTTTCTCTGTGTTCTCAGGTAAAATTGGAAATGCGTGGCTATAATATTTAGCTACAACAGTTTAAATTTTGAATTTCATGTTGGTCTATGAAACTTTTGAACGAACTTTATTGGATATTGTGAACTGGATGACGAAAGTTTCTTCTACTATATTTGCATAATTTCATCTTTATTTGGGTTTCAATTATCTTTGTGGACATTCACTTTAATTTTACTATACCCCTTTGTTTTGACCATAGCTTTTGTTAAGATTTGTCACTTGGTCACTGAAAATTGTTTAGGACGTTAACATGTGATTCGAAAATACTGGGTTTGTGATTGTAACTATATAAACCAGGTAATAGTGCGCATGAGACCACCAAACAAGGTTGAGGAAGATGGAGGGTCAGTAGTTCAGAGATTATCAAATGATTCTTTGTCAATAGCAGGGCAGACCTTTACATTTGACTCAGTTGCAGATATTGAATCTACTCAGGCAAGATTCTACTGTTTTATAATTTTAATGTGTAAGCAAATTTATAACCCTAAATATAAAAAACAAGATAGTGAAACTTGATCTGTAACATTATCTATTTCAGATTGATATATTCCAGCTCATAGGGGCACCCCTCGTTGAAAATTGTCTAGCAGGATTTAACAGCTCGGTGTTTGCCTATGGCCAGGTAATTTGGTTTTCATTTATGCATTTTACAGCAGGAGTTAGGTAGTGGTGTTATTATATCCAGTGAAACAAGTGCATGCATACAATCGAATGTTGCGATAAAATGTAATTTTTTTTGCTAAGGATGACATGTTTGCAATTCAATTGACCAGACGGGAAGTGGAAAAACCTATACTATCTGGGGTGCATCCAATACCTCGTTGGAAGAACACGATCAGCAAGGCTTAACACCTCGAGTTTGCCAGCGACTATTTGAGCGCATTAATGAGGTCTTCTATTTCATTATCGATTTTTTCCCCCTACGTGATTCTTATCACTCTTGTCCTGGCATTTAGGTATATTCTTACTTTGTGGGATTTCAATTTTCCTTTTAGGAACAAGTGAAGCATGCTGATGAACAGCTTGTGTATATGTGTCGATGCTCTTTCCTTGAGGTACTTGGCTCTGTTATCTTTTGTGCTCTACAGAAAATATAACTTAATTATCTCTCCTCTGAATCCTTTGAATGGCATATTTACAGATTTATAATGAGCAAATTACTGATTTGTTGGATCCAAATCAAAAAAATCTCCAGGTAAAAAAGCAGAGATATGTACTTCTGTGGAGATTGTGTGAAATTGGTGCCTGACATTATCTCATTGAATTGTCTTTCTTTTTATTCAATTTTTCTCATTACAGATAAGAGAAGACGTCAAAAGTGGGGTTTATGTCGAAAATTTGACAGAGGAGTGTGTGTCCTCAATGGAGGATGTGTCACAACTTCTAATAAAGGTTTGTTCTGCTTTTATGCTTTTTTAATGTTCAAAGTGGTCTACTTCGAATTTTTTATTATTATACTATAATTTAGGGTACTTCAATTACATATGACTTTTATTCAAAGGAAATAAAATTGCATAGGACTATACTTTAGTACCTTGAGATTATTTTTTGGGTAGGTGAAGGTTGTTATGTTGTGATTTACATGTTCTTTCCGTTTAAAGAAAGATAATAACATAAAACAATTGTGTATCTTGAAAAAAAATTAAATTATAATGCAGGAAACTTAACAAGTAAGTTGATATTTTGAAATGAGATTGATTAATTTCAATCCTATCTATCTTTTACCTTTTCTCTCTCCATTTAACTCAAATGGTTAATTATTTTATATAGGGAGAAGAGAACATAAACACTCAAGAGAAGAGAGGCTGATTCCTCAGTTTACCAAAGATCTATTCCTCATCTAGCATTAAGCCCAGTTTAAGCATTTCAAACTACATTATAGATCGTTTATTGGCATGTTCCAAGCAAACATTTCGGACAAATATATATTCAACTTATTTTCCTAACACAAAGCCATGTGTAGGAATGGTCTATAACCTTAAAGCTTGTGTGAGAAATTTATAAACTGATGAAAAGTAGTGTAGATTTTGTAGGTCCCACAAAATATGTCGATAATAAGTGGATAGTAGTTGTGGGTTCAATGAAATGTGTGATTAAAATTGATTCAATTTATATGCTTCTCCAAATAAGCTTTTAGCCTTAAGTTGCAATCGAGAAGTGAATTTTGGCCAGCTGTGTTATGTTGTCTTTCACTTTTAATTTTAGGTAGTCATCTTGCTCGGGATTTTTAGGTAATATTTTAGTATCTTATAATTTTCAGAGATTGTACATATAGACACTACATGAATTGTGCAGGGATTGTCCAACCGGAGAACTGGCTCAACAAGCGTAAATGCTGAAAGTTCTCGTTCCCACAGCGTCTTCACTTGTGTTGTTGAATCGCGAAGCAAGGTAATAGAATCATTGATTAAGATTGACTATGATCCATTCTTCATCACTTGTTTGAGTTTTTTTGCAATTAGGTAAACACAGAGCACAAGTTAGTTGGTGCTTGAATGCATCCCGCTACTCCCATCTATTTGTTGTGTGCGTGCGTAGAGCTAATGTGTGTTAAGTTGATTTCTATCACATGCAATTTTGCAACCTTCTCTGCTAAAGGCTCATCACCTAAATGTATATCACAGAGAATGGCTGATGGTGGGGTTAGCTGCTTGAAGATGAGTAGAATAAATTTTGTTGATCTGGCTGGATCTGAAAGACAAAAGCAGACAAGTGCAGCTGGAGACCGCTTGAAGGAAGCGGGAAATATTAACCGTTCGCTTTCACAACTAGGGTATGTTTAATATATTCTGCAGAAGTTTGCAACATCTAGTGACTTGATTTTTTGTTGCCTTTTTGGTGCCATAGCCCAATGGATTGATTTTTTTTAGTATTTTTAGAGGTATAAAAAATTGTTTGGAGGAATTTATAATTTGAATCAATTTTAACCTTACATTTCATGGGACCCACAACTACAACCCACTTATTATCTACATATTTAGTGAAACCCACAAAATCTCCACCACTTCTTTCCATCAAATTATAGATTACGACTTTATAAATTTCTCCTAACAATATTTTACTTTCGACTACTAATATGAGAGAAAATAACTTTCTACAGAACTTATATTGATTCTGATGAGGAAAGAATTGCTGTACTTAATTTCAAACTTGTACCATGAATAGGAATTTATATATGAAATACATTTGGTAGTTTGCATTGTCATTCTGTCTAATTAAAATTTGTGATTGCAATGAACAAATAAGATACCTTTATTTTTCTAAGATTTTGTGATTTATGAAAGGTCTACGAGCTATGGAACTATTGTAATACATGAGAATGAAAATAGGAAATGAGTCAGACATTAATAAAACAAATTTAGATGATATTATTTGTTTTTGTGCTATAGGGGGAATTTAAGGTTGCTCCTACATGACATATAACCTGTTATCACTTGCAGTTGGTGCTGGAAGTGCTGAAAGATTTACTAGTCTTTGTAATTGGAAATTTAGATTGTTGCTAGTGTGATTGCAAATTTTGTTACTGATATGGGGCCTATTGTTTGAATCATAATTGAATTAGATGGTAATATAACAATCCTGTGTAATATGATTAGAATGTAGAAGATAAGGATTTAGATAGGTTGTCTACTGTCGAAAACTATCTCCTCTTCCTGATGTTTATGTCAGGCTTGAAGCGAATGCTCTTTTTCTGAACAAGGAGAGCACCTTGAGGAACACGAGACCTATGGCAATAGAGGATTGATGAACTAGTATACTTGTTCAGTTAGATACAACTTTACTAATGTTCTTTTGTGACAAAATTAGAAGAAAATTACCTTTGTAGACAAGAAATGTTTGCTGTTAATCCAGTCTTAAGTTTTAGAGATTGTGATGTATACACGACATTTAAAGCCTGCATGTCTTTGATAACATGCTGACTATGGCATCTAACTTTAAGCTCTTATCACATTCATTTAGCTATGACTTAGTTGTTTGAAACATTGCTAATCGAGAATATCAGATTGTTAATGTACTCATTTTGAATATCTAATTGTTAATGTGCTCATCAGAATTTCAAATTGTTAATGTATCTGTTGTCTTCATGTTATGGGACACTTTTTGATGAGCTATTACAAGATAAATTTCGTTTCTGATGTTAATTTTGGTTGCCTTTGACATATGCAGGAATTTAATTAACATTCTTGCAGAAGTTGCCCAAACAGGAAAGCAAAGGCACATCCCATATAGAGATTCCAAGTTGACATTTTTACTGCAGGAATCTCTTGGTGGGAATGCAAAACTGGCAATGATATGTGCGGTTTCTCCAGCCCAAAGGTGACCATGGATATCAGTGTGTGTGTGTGTATATAAAGATTTTATCTATAGTTTCTTTTTTCCTTGTATTAAACTTGCAATGGTTTCTGTAACATATTTGCAGCTGCAAGAGTGAAACTCTCAGTACTTTGAGATTTGCCCAACGTGCAAAGGCTATAAAAAACAAGGCAGTTATTAACGAAGAAATTCAGGATGATGTAAACGTTTTGAGACAAGTGATACGACAATTAAGGGTATATGATCTATTCTTTTTACTATATGTTCATTAGTCACGGTGGTTATTAATAGCTAATCAGGTACGCAATTATATTGGGAGGAGAGTATAGAAATTAGAAGGAAACATTTTATTTTTTTCTCTTATCATTAAACAGGATGAACTGCATCGAATGAAGGGAAACGGCAATCAAACAGGCCAAGTTGGAGCTTATTCAACAGGATGGAATGCCCGGAGAAGTTTGAATCTCCTGAAATTTAGCCTCAAGCAGCCATTGACGTTGCCCCACGTCTATGATGCCACTGATGAAGAAATGGAAATCGTTGAGGAAGAAATTGTTGATGAGGACACAGATGTTAATATAGAAGATGAGGCACTCAAACCAGTTGATGAGGATAAAAATAATATCACGGATTGTGGTTCCAGAGAAAGAAACTCAGACATAGAACTGCCAAATAGTGATTCTTGCGGACGCTACGCTCAGGGGGAGTATATTCCTTCAATTATTGAAAACTTGCCGGATGAAGATGGTGCAGCTCATAATCACTGTACTGTTCCAATTGACACATTGCCAGTTCTGAAGTCACCGACTCCCAGTGTTTCACCAAGGCTGAGCAATAGCAGGAAAAGTAGTTTCACATCAACAGAACATTTGGCTGCAGCTCTTCACCGTGGTCTCGATGTTATAGGGAGCCTTCGTCATAGTGCAGCTTTGGGACGATCATCATTCAGATTCTCTTGTGTACCAGCTGGTGCTAAAGC